CACACACACACACCGGGGTCGTCACAATATGCGTTTTCGCATTTGCATACATGCAAAAACGCATAACTAGTTGTATTGGCAATGTTGCAAAAATTAAAAGTAACAGAGATAAAGCAGGTCGTTGAGTAAAACCCATGCAGTTTTAAAATTAGACAGGGAAAGCTGTCAACGCGATGGAAGGTTTCGCTTGAGCGATTGTTATTTTATGCTGATGAAACTTTTCGTATTCACTTAGTTCCCAAAATAAAGTAATATGAAGTTGTCAACACGTTATTGATGAGAAGTATAACAGTAATTTGAATAAAGCATGTAATGAAGGCGGTTGTGCATTCCTGATTTGAATGGGTTCTTGCAAATAAGGTAAGGTATAGTATTATGCTTTAAATGTTACTGGGGAACAGGCATGGGCTAATTACAGCTGCACTGTGCCACTGCACTGAGTTAGTTGGGTCCAAAAAATCGAATGAACGCCATTTATGGGCTTATGCGGAACGTGATGTATTTTTTTCATTAGCCTATGTGAATAAGACAGAACCGTGCAAATTTCTTTCATGATCACATGCTGTTTTTGGGTTCCGACATTCAAGGTCCGATCAGTTGCTGTTTCATTGTCGCGTTACTTCTGGTTATTAACACAGTTAACATTGTCGCATTCTTTGTTTTGAGCATACCCATTCGTTCACTTCCATAAGTTATAGAGGTTTTTTCACCGCTTTAGTTGCCTTTTCCATTTCTGACATTGCGCCAACATTCTTTAATAATTCATTCTGCCATCTGTTATTTCTTTTATTTTTGGCATATACTACCATTATAACATCGCTCACAGCAGATCGAAATCCGTATTAATTCATCTGTGCTGCAACTTGCTGACATCTGTATGTGTTGTTTTTATGGATAACGGGAACACTGCAAAATTCTACGCAGTAAGAGTGGTTTCCCATGTTTCACTGACGAGCACTGTAAGTGACAGCGTAGAACCTGAAAAGTATTGCTTTTTCTGCGATTTACAATAATCGAAAAAGAATAAAAGCACATGAATTGAACCAATTGGTAATATTTCAAAAAATAATCTTGTCGGTGGTGTTTATGGACGGGAAGAAGTTAATAATGTTTCAGGATGAAACCAGGCCGGTTGTCTTCGAAGAGCCGCATGTTCAGTTTCAAGAACCTTCTAAGGAATGTACCGCAGAAGCATTTATGCCTTCAGTCGCACAGGATGCTGGGGTTAAATCAGAAGTTACTCAGAAACAACATTTATCTAAGGAAGAGGAGGCAATAATCGCCTCTTGCGGTAAAAAATCGGCTAGCGAGGAAGTAAGTTGCCAGCTTTTCGATTTTTTTTCTCACAAAAAATACTTTTGGAGAATTTTTGACGGCATTTTTTCAGTAAATAAATTGTAACGTTCCTCAAAAAGAGCCATAACCGATCTCGCGAGTCCAGGGATACCGTTATCATAACAGCCTGAGTGATTACTTTTGAATGCTCCCGCTTTTCACAAAAAATGAGGTGTGGAGGCAGTGTCTTAGCATTAGCTTTGACTTGAGGGGCCCAGTATTGCTTTTCACTGTAGTTTGATCAGAATCAGTAACGCAAGCTCGCCTTTAATAGACTCAGCATCTCCTGTTATTTATTTCAATAAATTTAGTACTGAAATAATTAGAGTGAATCAACTGCAGCGTATTTCTCAAACCAAGACACTGCAGTCTTGGTGCTGCCATCGTTTCGTTTGAAAAGAATATGCAATATCAGCTGATTACCATTAGCAGAAACATCACTAGAACACTCCGAAAAAATTAATTTGCACGTGGTATTTTACGTTATTAACGCTGGCGGTCAATTCCTTTGTGAGAACTGGAAGCGCTCGGAAGTAGCTTGAGCGATCATCGACGAACATCCGCTGGTACAGCTGTCAAAAGATTTCTCTTTTGAAGATTGCTTTGATGCAGAATGATAGGGATTTTTGACTTTCTGGCAAATGTCAGTACCGATTTGCCATCGAAACCAATGGACCAGTTATAGAGAGACTGATTTTCCTAGTGGTAGAGACAAATTTTCGATCTTCGGAACAAAAGCATTAATATTTGTCAGTATGCAGTGGAACTGTTGTTGCATATTCCACGAGCACAGAGAGGATTTAGGATACCCATTTTAAGATTTTAGTGAGAGATACTTTTTTACCAAGTTTTCAAACAACCTTTTGAAATTGCCATTTAATTCGCAGAAATTATCTGGAACATTTTAAAACGCCTGCCCTCACTAAGAAATAGGAAAATAGCTAAGAGAAAGGCAGGTCGTAAGTAATGTAATTTATGTTTATGCGGTTCATGCTGACTTTTGGAATTCGAAAATCTGATAATATCTCTTTTGATATTTTCAACGGCCAATATCTCTTTCATCGTTGTGTGATACAGACGGCAATGTTTTATCTTTTCAAGCAATAAATGCCAAAATAAAAAAATTAAAATTTCCTTCATAAATCAGTCTCTCTAAGATGGGGAGGCACACGGAAGCATTTTTCTAAAATAACTGGCCATTTTTTAATATTTGTTGAACATTTAATTTTTAATGCTAAGTCAGTTATTAGTTTCAAACGAAAAAAATCGGAAATTTAACATTCTCTTACCTAACTTGAACGTTCTTCTCTCCCTTACCACACTGAACGTTTCAATGACAAGTTTTTTTTCCCGATGCATTTCGTTTTAGAAAGAGAAAATGGTTGAAAACAGTGCAGTGCTGGACAAACTGCAGCGAAGGAGAAGTAGCATGAATAGCGAATCTGAATATTTGCGTGATGTAAGGCGTAGGGGGTTGGATCCGGAAAGTGCTGCTGCACTGCCAAAAAGAGACGAGGATCCGGAAGAAGAAGACAAGTTCTTCTATACGAAAGGTTCTGCCTGTATTTACGTGCTTTTCAGAATGCAGTTTTATAAGTTAAAGATCCATTGGTTTAATGTTTAAATCATTCAATCAGTTTGGACAGTGACTTTTATTAGCAAATCAGTCATGCAGTCAGTCGCGCGGTCATTTAGCCGGTCGGTCAGTCATGCAACCAACTAGCCGGCCAGTCATTCATTCGGTCAGACTGGCAGTGAAAAACTGTATGGCAGTGCCGAGTTTAGCTTCTCTTGAGAGAAACTGGTAATAAAAACGTTGTCATCCTCTGACCGAACATATACGCAATATATAAGGCCCTAATTTACTTGATTTTTTGACTCATTCTTCCATATTCACCCTCTAGGAGAGGCGGAAGAAATCGAAAAGTAGCCCAGGTGGTAACAAGTGCCAGCAACAGCTAACTGTTTTCAGAACTTTGAGTGATTGCTTCTTTCGAAGGTTGCTTACAAGCAGGCTGATGACGGGTTTTACTCCTTGGTATAAGCCAGTTCCAATTAAAGGAGCGAGCTGTAGAGAGACTGACTGCCGCGCTGGTGAAGTTGTGTGGCTCTGAAATGTTTGAATTCGGAAGGACTGTGAGCAAGTGCAGAGATCTTTCTTTTCAGCCAGTATTATCAAAACCCTCCTTTCATCACCCTCTGCGCTTCTGTTTTCTCTGATTCTTCTTTCATTCCGAATTATAGTGGAGATAGAAGAAAAACCACTCTCCCATCCTGTAGTATCTTTGATGTTTCTTGATCTTTTCTCTGTCCCAAATTTTATGGGAGATGTCACAAAACAACCTTATCAAAATTTCCCGAAAAAATACGTTAATTCTATTTCTGAGCCTCATTACTCTTCATTCCGAATTAATCAGTTTTTGTGCTTGAAAACTCGTCCAGTTTCATCGCCAATATATTTTGCAGACAAAATATCTCGAAAGTATAGCAATTTTCCCGGTGATACGATATTACTGAAGCTGGATGCAGTCCCTCATGGTGGTCTTGGCTTATCACTGGCTGGAAATCGCGATCGCGATCGGATGACCGTTTTTGTTGTAGCTGTCAGACCAACTTGCCCACTGCCGGTTAAAATCGGCGACGAGCTGCTTGAGGTAGTTATTCTCTGTGCTATTAAAAATATAAACTGGGGATAAAGTTGAACAATTGGAGATAAACCGAATATTAATGTAATGATAATAATAACAACAGTTTTAGTCGGCAGGCATAGGCATTGAGGTAGCACCGTTGTCATGTGGTAGGCCGAAGGTTCAACTCTGCCGACGGATACCAATCCATTTTCAATTCGTTTCTGTGGTAAACTGGTATTGGCATATTTCCAGAGAGTCAAACCCGGCATTACAGTGGAATTAGTGACATGGGATCTTCACACCGACTGTCGGAGCGGTGTTGATATTTTTGATGTTTATCAGGCTAGTTAAAAAAAACAATGATAAAAGCGTTTTGCATACTAGCAAAATATGAAATTACAAAAGCGTAGAGGGTTGTCTTTTAAAAGATAAGCTAGAATCATCAGTAATGAGATAGTAGATGGGTGGCGTAAACTGATACGGCAGTGAACGTCTAGCTGAGGACATGCAACCCAGAATCGATTGATCCAGTGGATCCCGGTAACATTGATAACATCGGATCCGCGCACTGGTTCTTGAGACGGTCTTGGTAATTTTGGCAAAATAATTAGCACTGTTAATAATTATCGTTTGATTAACTATTTTTTAAGTAGCCGACAAAACTACCAGTACGCATTCACCATACTGTGTTTATAGGTAAACGGGAAAGTGCTTCTTGGCTTATCACATCTAAATGCATCATCAAAAATCCGCGAATGCTGTGAAGATGGAATCCTAGAGCTGCTGTTGCTACGTCGTTTCGAGGCCTTGGTGATTCTCATTTTTTTTGTTTTTCTTTTTCATTTTTTTTTTTTATGAGGGGGAGGGGAAAAATATATAGCTTGAACTTTATTTGACGCAAAATAATTAAAATTTAAATAATAGAAGCAAATATCAGTCTTCCTACGTGCGGCTGTTTCATTGTCTTATTCAGGTAGTCTCTGCTCCAAATGCCTCAACTTCCTACAGAGTCTGGGAAATGGAGCCTAGTTGAACACAATACCTGAACCCCATGACCTCATCAGTCCAACAACACTATATTGTTTAATCTGTTATATACAGATTCTGTTATATACAGATTAAACAATATAGTGTTGTTGGACTGATGAGGTCATGGGGTCCAGGTATTGTGTTCGATTATATACAGTTAAACAATATAGTGTTAATACGCAAGCAAAAATACATAAATAATACATGAACCCAGGCTGGAACGCACCGAGCGGGCCCGTGCGATCATGCGTTTTTGCACCGGACTTGAATTAC